ATGAGGAAATGTACCATTTAGCATTATTCTAAATTTATATAAATAACTGAACAAAAACAAAAAATTACTCCACAGAATTGCTCAATGCAGAGCTCACTACTGTTTTTCATTTCTATCATATGGCATTATGATTTGGATTAATTGGAAACATACTTCAATTTATAGCTAAAATGACTTACATATATGAGTTTAATAGAAAAAACATAAAAAATGGTTTACTAAGGTCAGTAGTTATTAGGTATCAGTTATAAAACTACAAATATTCTGCAATGTCTTTAATTATATGACAGCTTTTTGGGGTTAATTGCTTACATGGATACTATTTCTATGCCTTTGACAGATGCCTTGGAAATTAAAAAAAAATCAAATAGTTCAGTTAAAAAATTTAACTATGAGAAATCATAGACCAAAACTTAGTGTTTTTGAACTTCTTCAAACACATCCAAGTGGGAATGGTTCCATTATCAAAATACATTTTATTTAACTACAAATGGGTTCTTCTTTTTAATTCCAATCTTCTAATTCATTTGTGATTGTTATCAAAGCTCCTTTACTTTGAAGATTTTATTTATTTATTCATAAGAGACAGAGAGAGAGAGAGAGAGAGAGGGGCAGGTTCCCCACTGAGCGGGGAGCCCGATGCGGGACTCAATCCCAGGACCCTGGGATCATGACCTGAGCTGAAGGCAGACGCTTAACCATCTGAGCCACCCAGGCACCCTAAAGCTCCTTTACTTTGAAGAAAACGCATAAGGACAAGAAAAGATTGAAGATCTGATTGAAGATCATATTTCTTATATGTAAAACTTCATTCTTGTCACACAAACTCTGTCATGCACATGTTGATCATATTCAATAAAATATTTACTTTAAATCTATGCCACAAAATTGTTTGAATCAGAACCACTGCTTAAAAAAAAAAAATCACTCGGAATAATTTAGTCAATGAGTTTCAGTAATTGCCCCCATAACAAAAACACTACTAAAACAACCCTTGAAATCCTGGAGAAAAAGAAAGAACTTCTTTAAAATGAAGAAAAGTCATTGACATCATTCCATTTTCAATGAATTTTGAGAGCAATCTGTGGAGCAAACTGCATACATTTAGCAATTGATCTAAATTTTAAGACTGTTATAACAAAAGCTAAAGGCTTTTGTAACCATTTCTAAACTACAAACATTTTCCTTGATTTAAAATACTTTTCGTTGCTTGCAGGGAAGCAGAAATATATTAAACCATTTCAAAGAAGATTCTAAAAATATTCTTTAATTTTGAAACTGCATCTTAAATGCTTAAAACATATGTATGACACCAGGGCCATACTTAATTAGTTATAATTGAGGGTTTTGATCAGTTTTTATTAATACCAGTTTTGCTAACTATGTGTAAAATTAAATTTTGTTATAAAGTTACATATGGAAAAGTAAGCAAGCTACACAAAAATTAAAAAAAAAATTCATTCTCCTGGTTCCTTTGGTTCATGAATTTGCTTGTGGATGAAATGTTTATGTCTTCAAGCAACTGCAGGGAAAAACTCAGTGTTCATTTAAAAATAAAATGGCTGTTCTAGATCAATAAAGAAAAGTATATTTTCTATACTAAAACTATATTAGGATGTTCATAAGGATTTAGTTTTTCTATCTGGATGCCACACTAACTGGATGAAAGGCACATCTAAGTAGCATAGGGGAAATTATTTTTAAGACCCAATTAGCAAAAAATGTCCACATTTCATGCATTAAAATAATTTACCTAGAATAAGATTATCTGCTAGAGTTACTTTATTTCTGACAGATCATTACTGGTAGATTGAGATGTATTAAACATTGCAAACAATTACTGCCTGCTTTTATGTCTCAACTTTAGTGTTTTCTTTATTTTAATGCAGAGGGAGCTTTATTAGCCTATTTATTATTTTGTGAAATCAGAGCCCAAAACAACTGGAAGAGAGAGAGAGAGAGAAAGAGAGGATTAAGATTGAGATTTTCCAGTGTTTCCACCATGTTCAGTGGTCCAATTACAGATCTACTGGGGAATGCAGTTCAGTAAGAAAAGAGAATTAATATTAATGTTTAGACTGGCTTAAGATTCAGCTTTTCTGGGAGAACAAAGATTATAAAACTGCACATAAATAGCTCCTGCCTTATATGAAGAGGTTCAGGAAACCTTCTTTACCTATCAGTCTGACTAGCCAGCTATCAGATGATGGCAAGTCCATTTGCCAAATGTGTCCAGCGGCAACTTGCCATCATCAATCTGTTTGAAGAAAATTAAATGCTTGTTCTTTTGTGGGTAGGGGAGGAAGATGAAGAGATAATATTTTGACTCAAATAAATGGTGATAACCTACTACAAACAATAAAAGATAGTAGTCTGCCTTTTTACCCACATCAGTCCTTGGCAGAGTTTGATGTTCTCCCCAAAGTTTAATTACGACCGGGCCCCAGCGGTATGGGGCTATAATTTCGTGGTCTCTTTCAAGAGCAAAGGGAAGTTATTTCTTAAAATAAGGAAACCTGTACATTTATTTGAATATGAGTAAATAAAAATTTCTTTTAGGTTAGGAGTGCACAAATGAAGGCAGAAATGATCAGATAATTCTAGGTGTAACCAAAAGAGGGCACCATCTACCCTTAATGTCTGCACAGAGTTCCTGTGGTTGTAAAAACAAAACCCAAAAAACTCCAAGCCCCTCAACCCCTCAAACTCCACCCCCACCCCCCAAGAAAGGGCATCCCGTGGCTCCTGACATTTTGTACTCTATAAGGAGACCGAATTCTGAAACTGCACCTTATGAGGAACATCGGTTTGGTTATTTACTTCAGGACTGATTTCTACGTTCAGCAACTCATGGTGCCTGACATGTTGGCCACGAGAAGCAAGTATTTAACATTCACTGTGACACTTTTCAGACGCTTCGAGATTAAGATTTTATAGGGCACTGAGAAAATTTCCCCTTAGGCCAGAGTAAGGCTGTCATCAAACAGCACGAGAAAAAGATGACAATTAATTTCCTAATGCTATCTTAACTCCGAGGGGTTATCTATAATGATAGATAGATAAGGAACAGTGGCAGTAAGATCTCCTCACACAGGGAGGACACAGTTAAATGCATTTGAGGTATGTGGGAAATAATCTGAAACAGCATTTGATGCCAACTTTTAGCAACAGAAGCCTAACAAATGTTCATTCTTTCAAGTGGGAAAAAAAAGCATCCTGACACTACTCATAAATTTATTTTCTGTATTCTTAAACATGTCTTATGACAAGTGCATGATTAAAATTATCAGTGTTTGGGGGGATTGCACACCGCCCTTGTATCTAATCAATTTCTTCAGGGTGAGGGGGAAGAATAGTTCCAGGCTCTTAAGTGCAGTTACCAAACTGCTCTCAAAAATTCACTATACAGAAGACCACATGATTCTTGAAACAATGAGTTTAGCATTTAAACCAGAGGCTGGGGATGAGCATGTATGTCACTTTGTAGTACAGACAGCTGTTGAAGAAGAAGAAATGTGAATTCTTAGAGAATGGTCATTTCCACCACTGGAAACAAATCACTACCACACGCAATGAGTGTAATTGGAGGAAAACCTGGTGGGGAAATAAATAATTTTATAATCTTTTCAAGTAAAGAAAAGCACCCAAAATAGTTTTATGGTAGATGAGAAGGGGACTGTCATCTAACACTAAAATCTAGCAGGATGGTGCCCTCTGAATTTCAACGCAATATTAAAGCAAATAAAAAATTTTTTTTTGTCTTTCTCATTCTGTCTCTAGAAAAAGAATCACTATCTAGTGGAAGGCGTTGTGCAAGCCTCTTCATGTTTCTTTTCTCCAGAAAACAACTAAACAGAGGAGAGAACGAGTTCACACAAACATCCCAACTCGCTCCTGCCAAGGTACATCAGAGAAGCCGAAATTGGGATTGCGTGGGCTTGGGGTGGGCTCACGGCTGTGGCTCGAATTAAAACCTAAACGTGTCACCTTGTGACCACCTCGTGACCCCTTTTTCAGAGTGGCTCTGACCCTGGTCTCTCTCTGCCCGAAGGAACCGAGCCGCAGAAACTCTATGGGTTTGGGGGAAGTAGTCGCCTTGGTCCCCGAGAATCGGGTTCCTCCTGGGTCACCTCATCCACCCAACCACCTGTTATCCTTCGGGCCTCGGTTTTCCAGAGACAAAATTATGAAATGAGTCGCAGCCTCGTCTTCGCGGTTGGGGCTTTGGAGGCTGTGGTGGGGGAGGAGGATCCCCGAGAGATGACAGAGAGCTTCGGGTCTCCTCCGGGTAGTCGGCGTCGCTGTTTACCAGCCCCACCGCCTTCAGCCCACTTCCCTTTTCCTCCCCGGGAGGAGGAGATGGTTAAAGATTACACCGTGGCCGCGGGCACTTCAAAGGGCGGCTCGGGCAGCCAAAGGTAAAGATAACGTTCTGGCAGCTCTAATCAGGGTTTGTGGTTGCTACATTTTAATCACTTCATTAAAAGAAAGAAAGAAATCAAGAAATCAAGAAAAGAAGAAAAGAAAAAGGTTACATCACACGTCCGTGCAAGGGGTGCAGAGTAAGTTCCTTTGGGGCTGGGCAAGTTGGAGTTCTCTTTCGGGGAAACTTTTTATAGCCCGTGTCTTCGTGGAACGCGGCCTGACGCGGAGGGGAGGTTGGGGCAGGGATCAGTTGGGCAGCCCGCCCTTAGGCTCCAGGCTCAGGGGTGCAAATGCCCACACTGCAAGCAAATGCCTACAACCGGGAGCCCCGCGACCAGCCTAGAGCTGCACTGGGAAGCTGCGACGCACTAGCGCTTTCTGGGGCTTGCATTTGAAGCCGTTTCTCTGCGGGCCCGAAAAGTGCGCTTGTGCCCACCCTGAGACACGTGCATTTCTCTGGGGCCCAAACATGTCTGTCCAAGATGCCCTCTGCAAACTCGCCCGGTCCCTTCCAGACCCCCGGGCTGGTCTCCCCCTATTTGCCCCCTTCCCGGAGCCAAGCGGCGCGCACTTACAGGTAGGAGGTGAAGACGCTGAGGTTGGCGGGCAGCTCCGAGAGCCCCAGGTCCGAGCAGTCCACCCTGAGCAGCATCCTGCCGTCGGGCTCGCACTGACAGTGCGCGGGGCACCCCCGCAGCAGCGCGCCGGGCCTCGGCGAACCGCCCACGGCCGCCAGCTGCAGCAGGACCGGCAAGGACAGGAGCACGCCGACCGGGGAGGTGTCCATGGTGCCCGGGCAGGGGGCCTGGAGCGAGCCGCGGTCGGAGGGCAGCGTCCGGGGTGCCGCGGGCCTCGGCCGCTTAGCGCTCGCCTGCAGCGCTGGGCGCCGCGCTCCTGCCCCACGGCGGGGGCACCGAGGATAAGCGCCGCGGGGCCGGGCCGTGCCCGTTGCCGCCACGCGGGCCTCCGGAGCGGCCCTGGCTGCAGCCGCCGCAGGGGCAGAGAGCGTTGCTGCTGCAGGCCGCCTGCTCGGTGTGGAGCAGCATCTCCGCTCGCACGCTTGTTTTTTAAAGCGCTCCAGCCCGAATTGCGCGCCCAGTGACGTCAGCGCAGCCCGGCTTCCCAGGCACCCCCTGCCCCGCCGCACTTTCCCTCCTCCGGCCCCCTCCCTCCTTTCCCGATCGCCGGCTGGGAGGCGGCTGGCGGCGAGAGGTGCAGGCTAGCTCTCGGCGCTCGGGCTGGGCCGCCGCCGGGCGGATTCCGGCGCTCAACCCCGTGTGAGGGCCGGGCGACCCCCCACCCTCATTCCCCTGTGCGTCGTGGCGACCCAGAGCCGAGAGCCGAAAGGGACCTGCCTGAGGGGGACACACGGCTGCGCAGAGACCGAAGGATGCAGCACGCTTCCTCCATGCCCCCTTCAAATAATGGATGGAATACATGGAGTGATTAAAAAAAAAAAAAAAAAAAAAAGACTAAAATTCAATCCAGAAAAAGTTATCAGGGTAAGGAGGCAGGCATTCCTGGGCGAACGATGGGTGGCCTTTTTGATCCATACCTCACAGCACACCGTATAGCTCGCTTTTGCCTTCAAATCAAAGTGCCGGGTTAATGGCTAAATGAATATGGCTCGTGAGCAAGGACTGCAATTCTGCCTTCCTAACTTTTGGGGCGAGAAGTCGAAGGGGCTATTTTTTTGAAGTGTTTCAGGATCCCCTGGAAAGTCACCTTTAGTAGAACAATACCGGACGGACAGACAGATGGCTGTTTGCTTTTGTTCAGGGGGGGGCCTTTTCTTGCCAAGTGCCCCTAGGGTGCTCTAGTGCAGCCCCCCCCCCGTCCCCCCAGGCAAGAGGCACGGGGCTCTGGGAGAACCTCTGCCTCGTACCAGTGCAGAATGTGTCTTCTCACACACTTCAGCAAGTGCCCTAGGGTGAAACTAGGGGAGAAAGGAGAAGGACTTAGGGCTTTCTTGGAGAGACAGCCTCAGTGGGAACAAGTCAAACGTCTCCAGACCCGAGACAGAGTGGCTGAAAGAGGTGACAGCCCAAGCCTGTCACATCAACTCACAAAAATGCACAATTTTCTCTCTGGGGTACAATGCCTCCTTGTTTCATGAAGGTGGAGAACCCTTTTGGCTCTCAAGGCCTCTCTTAGTCTTCTTCCACTTAGCCTTTCCCACCGAATTTCCCGAATTTCCGAATAAACTTCAGAATTTTACAATTGGGAAGTTCTTTTTCTTTTTTGTTAGATGTATTTACCCTCCTTCGTTGAAGGAGTGATCCCCACACCTGGCTGATCACCTGCTTTTATGGGCTTTTATGATTAATATAGGTACCTGGGGCTAAATGGGCTTTTATGATTAATATAGGTACCTGGACCTAAATGAGTATTCTGAACATGTCCTTTTCTTGGGTGAATCCCATCATTTGCAAGTTTGTGATTCTCTGGATTAGATGGAGGGGTAGAGTGGCTAAGAATTAGAAACTCCATCTTCCTCGTTTTGCAAATAAAGGAACTATGTGGCCCAGAGATACTGGAAAATTTGACAGAGGCTGCTGAAAACTCTGAGTTAAGCCTGGTTTCTGGACATTAGTGCAGTGCCCGGTTCTGGACTGTTTCTTCACTTATCCCTATGCACACCACATCCCCTACCATCACTTTGCTCATTCCCACATTATTGTTTCTCCCAGCCATTCCTTCCACATGTATAGAATGCCTACTAATTGCCTATTTTCATTCCCACTTTTTTTCTTTCCCGCAGATTACTTATTTTGTAAGTGCAACTCAAGATTTATTCTTTTTATGAAACCTCCCATGACCGCAGTCTGCATTAATCATCAAGCAACCACTATTTGTAGAACAACGATGATCATGATGCAGCAGCAACCTGAGGGGAAGTTAGCTTTCGGCATGGAGCTTGCAGTCTGAAGGGGAATCCCACGGAAGACGAGTCTCACTGAACAGTATGTTGTAAATACCACAAAATTTAGTTCTGAGGTTTTCTTGAAAGCATATTTGTTTTGTTTTGTCAACTTTATTGTGACAACTTTGGAGGCAGGGACTAGGCCATTTGTCTTATCTTTACCTCTAGGACTGAAGCTCACAGTAGTGACCCCAAACCTAACAAATATTTACTGACTGACTGATTTATCAACATAGGCATCCAAATATGGTTGTGTCCACCTCCTGCCTAAAAACTTTTGGCAATACTTTCTTGACTTCAGGGTTGTTGAAAAGAGCATAACACTTTAGTTGTAGAATGAATCAGGCAGAACCAGATTTGAATGTAGGTTCTGCCAGTTTCAGGCAATTTGATCAGAGGCGCAGAATGAGCCCACCTGTCTCAGCTACCTTCTCTGTAAAAGGCGGGTAATTATTCACCTACGTTGTTCTAAATGTGAAAATGTCTGGAACTTGGCCTAGAGCAGAATAGATTTTCAAACCTGTGTTAGTGCCTTTCCTCCTCTTTTCAGGATTTAAAGCTTGTTAATAAATTCATGTAGAGTAGAGGGATTTCTGATTCAGTTAAATGGGGGTAGACAGCTGTGTTGAATGAGGCCAGGTATATTGAACATCTGTTATCTATCTATCTATCTATCTATCTATCTATCTATCTATCTATCTACCTGTCTATCTGCATGCCAACGTTTCCCCTCTCTCCTTTTGGTTGGAACACTCCACCCTTCTTGGGAACCTTTAACTGATTCTGGAGGGGCTATCGTGTGGTTCTACCTCCCTGCCCCTGGGCAGGTATATGACCCAAGCAATGAAATCTGAATCTGTTTGAGGGATTGTCATAGACCCTGGGGTGAGAAGATCTTCTCTGGCTTCTTGAGTTTAAGGACAAGGAAAATTAGAGTCAGGGGCGCTGTTATTCTGCTGTAGAGAAAACTCACTGGACATTATTAGCATTAGTAAAGAGAGAAGCAAAATCCTAGGGTTATCTTTTAAACACCTGGATCTAAGACTATTTCTACCCATCGCCTCCAAATTGGTGAACCAATCAATTTTGTCTTGTTTTGTTTGAGGTAGTGAGTGAGGATTTAGTTGTGATCACTTATAGGCAAGAATGCTCAGTAAAAACCTGAAAGTGCAGGAAGTGTGGACATTTAAGAGTGACCAGATGAACCCCCAAGGTCTTGTAGACCTTAAAAGATAGAAATCATATAGGTTGAAAATAGGAATGATTTGGCTAATGGTAGGTAATTGTATTGCCTGAATGCATGTATCTTAGTCATTTTATCTGAACTAATAAAGATGAGAATATGGCAAATCAAATTCCTTGCACACTAAATAAAAAATTTCTAGTAAGGACATTGAGGAGTAGTCTGTCTGTTTTGTGGCAAATACCATTTAATTTATAAGATCAGTTTCTCAAATTGCATTATAATAACCATCAGCATCAACTCAGCTCTTTATACATTCATATCCTCACTGGGTCCTCTTAACAAGTTTAAGAGATAGGTATTATTCTTATCCCAATTTTAAGAATAGGAAATGCAAGTGGTTTTCCTAATGGAGACCAGCAAGTCAGTGATAGAACTAAAATTCTAACTTGAGTCTTAAGACTTTAAGTTCTTTTCCAAATCCCTTGAGAATTCTAAGCACTACCACTCCCACCCTCAAACACACACACACACACACATGCACACACGTGTGCACGCACACACACACACACACACACAGACTTAAACTGGATAAGATCTTGGGTTTACTGTCAGTCATTTCATTGAGAAAGAAATTCACATTTTTAAAAAATTTTTATTTTTTAAAGATTTTATTTTTAAGTAATCTCTACATTCAGTGTGGGGCTTGAACTTACAACCCCAAGATCAAGAGTTGCATGCTCTACCAACTGAGCTAGGCAGGGACCCCATCACATATTTTTTTTAAAAGAAAAGTATAGTCTTTTGGACTGCAATGGACCAGCTGGAGCAGAGAATGGTGGCTTTTTATGTGAAGAGTAGGGGCAAGTATATATTCAAGCTTTTTCCTCTTAAATATATACATTTCTGTTTTCTCTTGATAGCTCACAGGAATACATTCTGGTGAGATGTCAGAGCAAAACAACAATACCTTTACTTGTGATAGTAAGGCTAGTAGGCTATTCATTTAGTATTTTGTCTAGGTGAAATGTTCTTATTTATGATTTTGGAAGGTATCTCAGTGTTAACGAGCCGGTATGTAATGGAAGATCTCATGCCAGAATTTAAATCACTTATTACTTCTCAGACTCTTTGATTGCAAGGCCCTAAAATCGATTCTGGTAAAGCGCAATCTGGTACGTGTCTACTTTCTGGGCTTGCTAAATGGATGATTTCCTAATTCTTTAATCTTTGATAAAAGTCCACCACTAAAAACATTCATGTACACCACAAGAATTACTAATAAGCTTGGTTGAAGCATGCCAGGATAATTTTAGTTAACAGGTAAGTCAATATTTCTTTTACAAGTATAGTGAAATAGTGTTTACACAACTGGTGGGCTATTATGGGCTTATTTAACTTGTTTGAAAGAGTATAGAGCCCATTATTTGCCCTGCTCACTTTACATTCATGATATAATCAGGCTTATGCTGAATTTCTTAACTTCCTTTCACCAACAAAATCTAATTAATTGAGAAGGGAGGAGGATTTAAGAATAAAGATCTATTTTCTTTCAGAATTATTTATTTTGCAAGAAAGCATTAGTTCAGCTAGTTCATTACTTTGAAACAGCCTGTTATATAAAATCAAGTGGATCTGTCTTTGATATTATCCAACATAAAGAAACCTTTAAATATATCCA